CCATCTTCAGAAGTAATTCTAATGTTATGGATAGTATTCCAGATGGATCCCACAATATTTATACCCTAATCTTTATTTAGATGTGAGTTTAAGCTTGTGCAAACAAAAATCTCTTCACCTAGCAGGGCTTTCAACCCTCCTCTGAATAGCCATATCTGCAAGTTGGAAGATCCTTCTAATTAGCTTGGGAACCAGTCACAAGGATCTGCAGTGGGAGGAATAAATTTGTGAGAATTGGGTGGAAGCAAGGAATGGCTTCAGATTGTGAGGAGGAATACTCTGAAGGAAAGGGAGCAAGAAAGCTCCATTGTACAAAGGGCATTCTGTTCACACAAGTCTAGAACCAGCTAAGCCATGTTTTGAAAGTGATTAGATTTTAAAATTGTATGACTGACATTATCTTTAATACAGTATTACTATGATTCTGAGCCATTTTCAGACATGTGAAAGATTTCATTTCCCATGTAATTTTCCTAGACAACCCACAACACAATACCATTCTGTGTAATCTGGCCTGTCTCAAGAAAAGTAATGTGAATATCAGTTTTGAAAGACTTTCATGGCTAATAATTGCATTCACAACTACCCCACATGTTTAATTAAAACTAATCTCATTATGCTGAATAACATAACCATGGTGCTTTCCCAACTGGTTTGAAATCCACTTGATTTCTCCTCCATTTATAATAATGTGTTGTGTTCCATAGACAATTTGAAACATGTATGCATGCTTTCTAAATTCTTTTAATTTTCAGTATGTATGATAGAAAGTACTGAATATTGGAGTGAATTTGTTGATATTGTGCATGATGAAATATGTAAATTATTCTTTCCAAGGGTGTCTTTCTTACAGTGTGCAGTGGCAGATATATGTAACCCAAATGATTTGTGTTGTACCAACCAGAAAACTAGTGCTGCAGTATTTCTGTCTCCGTACTGAAAGGCACAATGCAGACCCTGGGTGGATTTGGTGGTATTTGCTTTTTGCCCCTCTCTGTAGCCTCTAATTTCTGGCACAATTAATTATTTCCATCTCATGAATCCATAAAAATGAATTGAAGAAATAAAATCATTAAAATATCATAAAAACCACTCAAGTAAAATTAGTACAATACTCAGCAAACAAACCACTTAGATGACCAAATTGAAATTATGTGTCTTCACGTCCTTTCTAAAAGCAGGAGAGTGGAAACTAATCAAAACTCTGAGGGAATTCCTTCAGTTCAAGCAGGCCACTGGAGGTGCTGATATTTTCAAGTGATTCTCCTTAAGATCTTATTATCCAGAAATATTTGTCATAAACTATGTGGCTCCTTAGTCGTGCCAAATCATAGTTTGATACTGTGATAAGCAGGTATAAGGGTAAAACTCACATGGTTGCTTCTGCCCTGGTGTTTGTTTTTACAGATATGGCGATGGGACAAAATGTCTGTAGCCTGCTCAGAATCAGACTTTAGTTTCCAATCCTTGTTTCCTCAAACCAATATTTATTGGGTAAGAAATAAACCTCATTGTTGCCAACTAGGAATATGGTAGAAGCATCGAAGTCCCCTTATAAGGAAAAGGAATGCGTAATAATGTCAGCTCTGACAGCTGCTGGAAATGACAGGAAAATATTAACATTCCTATGGAGCCTTATGCTAAAAGGTGTTTCATAAGGTATTTAGAACTAAGCAAGTTTTTGTACCTAGACAAACATGGTATCAATGGGTTGCTCGCTATTAGGATCCTTCTCTTAGTTCTAATAAGAAGGAAATTAATAGAAAATATGATAGGCTTATACAGGGTGGTTTTATATCAATAGAACATCCAGATGGTTTTAGAAGCTGCTTGTGTGAAAGCCTTGGTCACATTTTCAGGAATTTAAGTCACTGTGTGCTTATAGTCATCTCTCATGATGTAAATAAGTCACACAGTTTCAAAGTAAAGAAAATCAAAACCTCTGTTTCATATATTGGTAGATGTGATAACATGTAGTACTGTATATCTGTTTCATTCCTACTCACACAGCAAGTACCATTGTCTCGGGTTAGTTTAGAAGTGGTCTTGCCTGATTCTGTTCTCTCTCTGCAGTACCTAATGTAAGATACATTCTCCAATTTATTCCATTTTCTGCAAGGCCAGTTATAAACAATTTAGGAAGAAAACAAAGCTAGGGGGAAGCCAGAAATATTGGCTTGGAAAATAAAAATACCAACATGAAGCCCGAAGTGTTTGAAAAAGGGGATTGAAAATAAAACAGCCAACATTATAATGCCATTGTACAAAATGATGGTAAGGCCACATCTAGAGTGTAACGTACAGCTCTGGTCGCCACACCTCAAAAAAGTCATAGTGGAACTGGAAAAGGTGCAGAAGATAGTGACTAAAATGATGACTGGTGTGAGGCACCTCCCTTATGAGGAAAGCCTACAGCATTTGGGGCTCTATAGACTAGAGAAAAGGTGCCTGAGGGGGGACACGATCGAGTCGTATAGAATTATGCAGGGGGTGGATAAAGTGGACAGAGGGAAGCTCTTTTCCCTCTCATGCAATACCAGAACCAGGGGACATCCACTCCAATGGAGTGTTGGGAGAGTGAGAACAGACAAAAGAAAATATTTCTTTACCGAGCATGTTGTTAGTCTGTGGAACTCCTTGCCACAGGACATGGTGATGGCATCTGGCCTAGATGCCTTTCAAAGGGGATTAGACAGATTTCTGGAGGAAAAGTCCATCGCAGGTTACAAGCCATGATGGGGATGTATAATCTCCAGGCTTAAAAGGAAGTTACCTCAAAATGCCACATGCAGGGGAAGGGTATAAGGATACAGGTATCTAGTTGTCTCGTGTGCTCCCTGAGGCATCTGGTGGAGCCCCTGTGAGATACAGGAAGCTGGACCTTGGCTTGATCCAGCAGGACTCTTTTTATGTTCTTATGTTTGATTTTGCTTTTATTACTTCTTAGAGAAGGATAAATTGCTCATTTTTGTTACTAGGACAGTCTTTAATTTAGACTACCACTCTACGTACACTTTCTCTGAGGATGCCCATTTAAAATAAATGAGGCTTTCTTTTGAATCAACATGTGTGGGCTTGCATTACATACCGGTAGATATCAGTATCTAAATACAGAAGCTGTTTTGAGCAGGAAAAGCTTTCTAGTACATGGGTCATTTTTGATAGCACAATAAGTTAAAGATGATTACTTCTAGATCCACAGTGGGGCTACTTTCTGTCATAAAACTATCTTGTGGGGAGCAGAACATCATATGGGTAATCTTTACATCTGTTCAGATTTGAATCTTTTTAGAAACAATCCAATGTTTCGTATGAGAGAAACCAAAATACATGCCCTGCTGCTTGTTTTTGAAGAGCAATGCTCTGTTCATGCTCATCTGCATAACCTTTTTACAATAAGCAGTGTGATTCTAACACTGGTGTATAATTATGCAATATGGAATTTGCGACTGAATTGCATTTATTATTACCAGTTAAAAGACAGGTTTTAGTATTGACTTCAATGCTCTTTGTTCGTTATGAAAGCACTGTGTGATATGAAAACATAGCAAAGTTCTTTTGTTCATATCTGGTTCTTCATAAATTATACAAAATTCAAGAGAAGTTGGGCACATTAGACTATCTTACTCAAATACACACACACACAAAATCCTGTGATATCCTTTAAAGAGTAAAATATCCATCTGGTTTAAGATTCTGTAGACAAGATGCATGAAGCATTATCTTTGATTTCGTACATGTACGCATATACCATGAAAGCAACATCTGACCATAGAACCAATAGGACACAAAATGCAACATGTTTGTGCAATCTAAATGTATGGAAGATGGAAACAATCGCCTATTCACAGTAGCAGAAATGGATGATCATTACTGACTGGTACACTGGTATTCGAAGGTATTAAAAACAGTTTGATGATTCTGCTGGAATAAAAAAATTCAAATGTATCATTATTGCATAAGAAGTGGTGAGATTACTATATGAGTATAATTCAGTCATTGTGATTCGTGGTACATACTTAGGAGTATATTTTGTGTGCAAAATGTCATGAAAATGATATAAGAGGATTCTCCAAACTGATTGGTAAAGTGCATGTCTAAATTAGGTGTGTGGCACAAAGTAAAGTCTGAAAATACTGTCTTTTTGCAATCACACACAACTGATAAGATTTACAAGAAAAACAAAATAAAATTACTTCCAAATCCTATTGACTGCAGCAAGAGGAGCATGTAGTGGAGAAGGCTCAAGGCTTTATGTTCCGCACTGCTGAAGAATCTGTGAAATCCTGTTCTATGTTTTACTGCATGATAATTTGGTGATAAGTAGCAGTGCACACGCCCAGGGTTAAGACTAAATGCATGAGCCCCTTGCTTGATGCCCCACATAAAGCCAGATTATGGGGAGGTTGCATCCAATTTTTATGTGGCTTTGTAATGTCTTGCTATTTGTTAATTTAGGATGCTGGTATCACAGGAGAATGGACATTTATTCAAAAATCTTCTGCTAATAACGCCTGCAAAATTCTAATAGCACAACTAACATATGCTGGAGTCCATTCTTCTTCAAGAGGAGCTTCTCAGCATTTGTTGACTGGTGATTGAATTGTATTCCATATTGTAGTAAAGGCTAACAAAAGACAGAGAAAATGTTTTAGACTGAAATAAAATTCTATTGGCTTCCTTGTGGCCAGTTTGAGTAAAAACTGGATGGATATGGCTGCAATTTTGTTTGTGTGTGTGATATAGCATTAATATTTCATAAATAGAGGAGTTTTAAGATTTGATACAGTTTCACATTCAGCTGAACCAGTGGCAGTACAAAGCTTTAAATTCATCCCAAAATGAAGCAATTAAATGGTTTATTGAAGCTTAAATCTGAAGTGTCTTTATATAAGCCCTTACTACTGTATGGTGATCACATGTCTTTTCCCCCCGTTATGACTAACTAAAATATTTCTTGTTTTCCTGTCTTACTGTTTTGCCTCTTGCTGAACTGGAAGAAATGTCAAAAAGAGAAGATATGATCCAAATCAACAAGGTATCTAAGGAACTCATTGGAAGAACTTTCCTACATATTGCTGGATTCTGGATATGGTGGAATTTTGTAATAGCTGTGCAGAAAATACATCACCGCAGACGAAAACTAAGACAAATGATTTACAACAAACTACAGGCTGGGATATGTATGAAAGGATTGAAGGAGAACTGTCCTTTTTGGAGATTCAAGTGCAAGAACACCCTCCACTCATTTGTTTTTTTTTTTAGAGTGTTAGACACAAGACAAGTGCTATAAATAAACTATTTTGGCCTAACTTTTTTTAAAAAAATAACAAAGAATGGAGCAAACAAACCAAGTGCAATAAGAGAACTGATTGAAAATATTCAAATAGGTAAAGAATTTCTTAACTGATAACATGCCCTTGCATGATATTTTAATATTAATGACAGACTCCAGTGGCATGATAAGCTAAATTTTGAAATGGTAAACTGCATGGCATATATACAGCAAACAAGCTAGCAAGCTGACCCCAAGCAAAATCTTCATACCAAGAAAACCGTAAAAATAAAACACTGAAAAATTGATTCTGGGTTTTTCAAAAATTGCATTCCACCACCGCAACTCTCATTACTTTTTAAATTCTCAGACTCCCTTCATAGTATATGTATTTGTTATTATTTTGATTTAAAAAAAAAAAAACCTCTGGAGTATGGCAGGTTGGGCCAAGCTAATGCCTATTGTTGAGTATAAAAAGAAGAAATGTCATTAAATCTCAGATTTGTGTCATGCTGTCTAAATATAGCAATTTCTTATTTTTTTTCTATACGTTCTATCTGTTTTAAGTTGTAAGCCTTCTTAGAATGTTGCTAAATGTTTGTTTGTTTGTTTGTTTTGGTGGCATGGCATATAGTGGAGGTTCTGGCTTGCTCTAAAAAGGCATTTCACATGCAGACACAAGACGTTCCAGCAGAAAAGAGACTTGCTTTTAAAATGTGTATGCTTCAAACCAAAAAAAGTAAAACTAAAAACACTACCACCCACACCCTTCCAAATCTCATTAATATATATCTAAATGCATATGTATGCAATTAATTTTTCTCTTTCCAGATGTGTCATGTATTGACAGGGAGATAATGTGTATATATTGTAACAAACCAACACCCTCTCAAATTAATCACAGAAGTGCCAAGCTTGTATTTTATTAATTTTACTGTTTTCCTTTCTCTCACACACACATTGTATGAAAGGAAAAAAGCCTAAATAAGCCTTAAATACACTTAGAATATTGAGAGCTTTTAATAGGTTAAGGCTTTCCCATGTATTGTCTTATAGTTCCCAGCATCACTCACCTTCAGGTCCACCTTTCTGTTTTATGTCAGATTTATCAAAATAATCCAAATGCCCATACCTTTCTCCATTTATTTATGTAGTATGTATATTTTAAAGCACAGCTTTGAATGTTACTTCCTAATCTGCCTGTGGTTACTATCACCACTCAGTTCTGTTTTGCAAAATAAGGAGAGTGTTATTGTTTACCCAGGAGAGTTGGTTTATGATGATGTCCACATCAACATCCCAGTGCATTGCTGCTGCAATTTGAGGCTTCCATGCCTGGTAGAAAACTAGGCCAATAATAAGTTATTCTGCAAAAATGCAAATACTGTATGATGTTTCAAATAGTAAGCGTCTTATAACCCAGAAATGAGCATACGGCAGCATTAGGGCCATATTCAGCTCTTTATCTGATCTAATGCAGGCCTCAGCCCATTTTCGAAAGTGCTGTGCAAGTGATCCATTCAGATCTCAGCAGGATCCAGCTGCTGCTCCTCCAGCAGCCTGCTAAGTGGGAGGGAAGAGGGTGGCAGAGAAAGCAAAAAGTGGCAGAAACAGAGGAAAGGGATGGTTTTGTCAACTTTTCTCACTGGACATTTCCTGCTATCAGAAAGAGGCTCCTGAGAAAGGTTACCCCTTAGGGAATGTGGCCCATGAGAGAAAAAGGACTATCTTCCACAGTTGGGAACCTTCATTTCAGTTCCTATTGCATCAGAATTCAGTACAGTACTGGAGCAAAGTACAGAAACAGTGAGAGATCAGATGTTTTGTTTCGTGGTGATTAGCAGCAGTGTAGGATGACATTTTAATCATGAATGGCTTTTGCTTTGTACTCTAAAGAGCCATATAATTAAATTTGATCTGACTACATATATTTTTATATCGATTTGTATAACTCAACTGAACCTTCAGAAATCCTCCTCATTGTATGTTAATGTAAATATTTTATCATTTTAAAAGAATTTTCCCATGCACAGTTCAGAACTATCTTACAAAGAAACGGAAACAGTGGCCAACATCCAACAGCAAACATCTGCATAATGTATCTTTCATTTCCTTCTCCCTGCAGCTACCATACTATCCACAAATAGGTTCCAGAAAGCTTTTCAGCATTCTAAAGCAGGTTTTGTAGATTTGCAGGGGGGCTGTACTGGGTAGATGAGATTGCCCTCTTCCTGATTCCATTGGCAGAATCAGTTCTTTCAGCAGAAAGATATCAGGCAGTTAACACTTTTTAAAATCGTGTTGAAACTATTTTTAGAGTTAAGTTAATATATGTTATTTGAGCATTCGATTTCCTCATAGTATACCATTGGTTGTGTATTACTATTGTAGCTTTTTCTATGCCAATGGCTGTATTACATTCAAAGGCAGCACACATCCAATTGGCTGATTCACATTTTCTCATAATTATGGTAATTGATAAAGAGGTACTACCTTATGAGTGAAAGATGAAATGGAAAGTACATCATACTAGGTTATTGAAATTAGGGGACTCTTAACAAATGTAGCCCAGACCTTGCAGCATCTTTAAGGCAATATATTTTAATTCTTGACCTGAAAATGCAATTAGATCTTAGAACTATTTTGCCTAGAGTCATTTTGCATTTTAATATAAGTATCTGTGAATGATATTTAAATAGGTGCTAATGTCTCCTTTATGGTTCTGTTCCGGGAGTAGTGTAGTAACCACAGTAGGAATGCCATTCAATATGGTTTAAAAATCAGATTGTTATACTTTTTTTTAAAAAAAAACCTGAAGTAATTCACAAAACATTGTAAATGTGCGATGTGGTGTTTTAAATTAGACCACACTGGTCCCCAATTATGTACATACTGCAATATTTGGTGTAACTTTTTGTTACACTAGCAATTTAACAATGAATCTAATGTCTAAATTTCTCCTCTGCTGTTCTGTTATGTGTATGTATGTTTAAAATACACAGATGTATAGAATGTAAATGACGATGCAACCACACAGCTCACGGAAATTGGATTATAGTTTTCCTGTGCTACTACAATTATGTAATCAAACTTGTTGAGATAGAGACTTATTTTATAAGCTTTTATTTACAGCATTTTGTAGAGAACACATGCTTCCTCTTTTTTTAACCACTGTCAGTATCATTTTAATAGTGTTCAACAGAATATAAGTTTTCATTTCAGCCAGAATATTTTTTTCCCATTAAAATGAATTCATTTTAACAGGAAGATGTATGGAAATTTTATATAGCTTATGTTGATATGCTGCATGATCCCACCAGATTGAGCAAATTCTCTAAGGGGAAACTCCACTACACTGATTAACAAAAATATATTCTAGGTGCATGTTAAAATAAACTACATAGAACAGGAGTTTTAAAAAGTTTTCTTTACTATGCAATGATAGGTATTGCACAAACTTAAAATTCAAAGACAAATGTCTGAGGAACTTTACAAAATAATACTTGAATTTATTTTTGATCTAAGAAGCTATCAATCATTTTATATCATTGTTGCTTTCACTATTGATCTTCCTTTTAAATTGTAATTATTTTTTAAAATGCACAATATGACAAAGTCATTTTTATTTAAAGTTAATACTCATTCATATCTTGTTGGCTGCTGATGAATGGAAGTTTGGTTGTCATTGTTCTGCATCTTAGTAAATGAGTATTAAAAACTTCATGAACAATGGAAAATCGCAACTTCTGTACTTCTTTTTTTGTATGCTACCATTAAATTGAATCCCTATGTTCCACATCCAACCAGTGTTGCAGTACACAGTGAAGGTGACCAACATTTTAAAAGCTGCAAGAGATAACTCTTCATCACAGTAGATTTCATAACCATTTTTGTGACTGCTATCAGATGGTTCACCCTCTAGTAAAACTTAAATGTTTGATGGATTTATAGGTCTCATCAAAAATCATACACAAATGCAGCTAAGCTTAGTTGTTTGGTGAGAGGAGATCACAGTAGTGGGGAAAATGTGGCTCTGTATTGCTCCTGTGAATCAATTTTATGTTTTTTCTGAGGTGGATGGGGAATTATAATTTTTAGAGCATATTCAGAGGTCTGACAACAAACGTAGTAAAGAATTCCAAAGTTAGCCAGTGCTCCTAGGAAAGATTTTATAATGTGTGTTTTTGAAAGTCAGAAATATGATTCAAAAATAATAATAAAGGTTAATCTATGGTAATAAAAGAAATAGTTTGATCCTCTCATTTAATTGGCCAGAAACCTAGTGACTGTTTAGCACAAGGACTGCTCCAGTGGTTCCATATTGCTCCATAAGACGCACCTCTCCATAAGATGCACCAAATTTTTAGGAGAAGAAAACAGGAAAAAATAATCTGTTTTTTTCACTCCATAAGACGCACAGACTTTCCACCCCCCTGTTTTGTGGGGGGAAAGTGCGTCTTATAGTGCGAAAAATACGGTATATTTAATACTATAATGTTATAGTGCCAGTGTCAGAAGCCTGTAGTAATGATGTAATAGTATAAGCCAACAATAATGGCAGGAGCCACCATTATAGATGCAAGGTTTTTTTAAAAAAATCCTTTTTGCAAAGAAAATTTAGGAAGAAAGAGTGATGGCAGAGTTGGGATAGAAACTGCTCTGGATTTGTAATTAAAAACTTTTTAACTATCAAATTAGCTGTGTGTGCAGGACAGACATTCTTGCCTGTGAATGTAACTATAACGGGTGTCTAAATGTAATCTGCACAGGTTTTTTTTTAATTCAGCCCATGGTTGTCTCCCCTGGCTTCCTTTGCTCAGGAATAAAGAGAACCTCAGTTTTTCACTATGAAAGACAGAAAAGTTAGTCTTTAATTGCTCTCCGTTTTTGTAAGACAAATCTATTTTCCTACGTCCGGCATCACTATGCATCTTTGTGTTCTGAAGTTCTCTGGTTTGTGCTGTTCCACAGAATGCAAAACTTCTCATATGACCCAGTATTTTGACTGGCACATAAATTGTCTTTGTGTGAAAGATGCCTCAAAATAGTACTTGGAGTTGTCCTTCAATCTCAGACAGACATAGCAAGGATTTGTGTCCCTCCCCGCACCGCCCTTCAACCATTCCATGTACAATGTGATCTCCTATTTTCAAGACAGTGTCTTTGCTTTAGAGATGTTCAATGATGGGACACTCCACCAACTCAACTTAAGAGTTGTCATCAACACTGGGATGCTGAGAAAACAACTATACTTCACAGCCATTTGCAGAAGGCAGGAGTTAACCTTGGTGGGGTTTTAGTGGCTGTT